ATCTTGATACTCAAAGTGTGCCCCATTGATCTATGAAACGTTAATGATCATTTCCATTATTCAACTTGCAGGGGATGAATCAGTGACTCTTACTAGTATGTTGCATGGGGGGATTTAATTTGCATGAACGAAGGCATCTTATCATAGCCAGTGGTGTCAGAGGATGCTGGGAGTTCAAGCGGCAAGCCACAGGGTGCTGTAGCACCCCCTTGCTGAGAGAAGTGTGTTCCTGCCCCTTAGGAAGTGTGCCCCTTTCTCTTGGGAAGGCCTGAATAGTTAGTTTGCTTGCTGAGCTGTGGGTCACCTTAGCTTACACCCTGGGTGGGAGGATATGGCTGGCTTCATGATTATGACCTGGAGCAAAAATCTCTCCAGTCTCCCATAGGTGCTTCTCTCAGGCAATGGCTTCCTCTGTTCCCCTGCTCCCTGCAGTTTTTTGTTGTTGTTAAAGAATTATTTATTTGAGGAACCAGCAGGTAGTGTAATGGTTACGTCACTGGACTCACACTTGGCAGACAACGGTTTGAGTTCTTGACCCAGCAGCTTAAAACACGCAGGGCATGTGTACGTGCATGCCTAAACTCCCAAGAGGAGAATGGAGGAGAAGGGATTGCAGCATGGTTTCTCACATTCTGTCTCTGTTTCCTTCTGTCTCTCTAGTGAGCACATAAACCCTATAGCAACAAAACAAAACAAAAACTCTCTAAAAGAGGAGGGAGATTATTTATTTGATTTTATTTACTATTATTTAATTTGCTTTAGGCACATGGGCTCACCAGAGAGAGAGCAGAAAAGTGATAAAGCACCTTGAACCGTTGTCAGCCATGTAGGAATCCAGCACCTCAACCACCAAGCCACCTATTGGCCCCACTCCCTGCAGCTTTTTCCACATCTCTTCCTGCATCTCCTTCTCGCACCCAAAGACTGGGCCCAAGATTAGTTTTACTCCTTAACCCAGACCTCGCTAAAGATAATCCCCTACTTATAACTCATACTACAGTGAACCCCATATTCTAGACATATCCAGTGATCCACCCTGAAACTTTCCCTGCTGGGTTATCTTTTTTAGTTTATTTTTTCTGTCAGTATATGTGTGCTATTGAAGAGAGGCACACAGAATACAGTGCCCCAGGTGAGGTCTTCACACCTCAATGCTTCCCAGCCCCAGATCATGGGATACCCAGGGGGGTCTCTGGACACAGACCCAGAACCTTCCCATGTGGGTTGGCTTCACAGAGCATCACGTTTTGCTGCTGTGCCACTGTCTGGTCCCCTGTTCAGATACCTTAACCTAAATTGTGACAAACGAGAGCTAATGTACTAATGATTAGGGCATTTATCTACGAAGTAACATATATTTTATTTTTTAAAATTCCTCCTATCCGCAGGAATAGATCAGGGTCTCTGTGACTATTTTAAATTCATTGAACTGTACATCTCTTCAAATCACAGACCAGCATTTTGCCAAAGGTAGAGTCAGCCCTACTCCTGTGATATAAAACAGAATCACGGGTCCTCCTGTGGACAGCCGAGGTCAGTGGGTCAAGGGAGGCCCTTCCTTCTGTGTTGAAGCTTGTACAAGAGCAGGCTACGGACCTGGGGAGCCCGTGCTGCCCGATGGTGTCTGGCCAGTACATACTCGCCACTGTCCCCAAGCGTCGGGGTAACAACACTGTCTCAGTACAGCCTCCTCAGCTGCTGGTGGTTTCTTCTTTTATCTTGATACTCAAAGTGTGCCCCATTGATCTATGAAACGTTAATGATCATTTCCATTATTCAACTTGCAGGGGATGAATCAGTGACTCTTACTAGTATGTTGCATGGGGGGATTTAATTTGCATGAACGAAGGCATCTTATCATAGCCAGTGGTGTCAGAGGATGCTGGGAGTTCAAGCGGCAAGCCACAGGGTGCTGTAGGACCCCCTTGCTGAGAGAAGTGTGTTCCTGCCCCTTAGGAAGTGTGCCCCTTTCTCTTGGGAAGGCCTGAATAGTTAGTTTGCTTGCTGAGCTGTGGGTCACCTTAGCTTACACCCTGGGTGGGAGGATATGGCTGGCTTCATGATTATGACCTGGAGCAAAAATCTCTCCAGTCTCCCATAGGTGCTTCTCTCAGGCAATGGCTTCCTCTGTTCCCCTGCTCCCTGCAGTTTTTTGTTGTTGTTAAAGAATTATTTATTTGAGGAACCAGCAGGTAGTGTAATGGTTACGTCACTGGACTCACACTTGGCAGACAACGGTTTGAGTTCTTGACCCAGCAGCTTAAAACACGCAGGGCATGTGTACGTGCATGCCTAAACTCCCAAGAGGAGAATGGAGGAGAAGGGATTGCAGCATGGTTTCTCACATTCTGTCTCTGTTTCCTTCTGTCTCTCTAGTGAGCACATAAACCCTATAGCAACAAAACAAAACAAAAACTCTCTAAAAGAGGAGGGAGATTATTTATTTGATTTTATTTACTATTATTTAATTTGCTTTAGGCACATGGGCTCACCAGAGAGAGAGCAGAAAAGTGATAAAGCACCTTGAACCGTTGTCAGCCATGTAGGAATCCAGCACCTCAACCACCAAGCCACCTATTGGCCCCACTCCCTGCAGCTTTTTCCACATCTCTTCCTGCATCTCCTTCTCGCACCCAAAGACTGGGCCCAAGATTAGTTTTACTCCTTAACCCAGACCTCGCTAAAGATAATCCCCTACTTATAACTCATACTACAGTGAACCCCATATTCTAGACATATCCAGTGATCCACCCTGAAACTTTCCCTGCTGGGTTATCTTTTTTAGTTTATTTTTTCTGTCAGTATATGTGTGCTATTGAAGAGAGGCACACAGAATACAGTGCCCCAGGTGAGGTCTTCACACCTCAATGCTTCCCAGCCCCAGATCATGGGATACCCAGGGGGGTCTCTGGACACAGACCCAGAACCTTCCCATGTGGGTTGGCTTCACAGAGCATCACGTTTTGCTGCTGTGCCACTGTCTGGTCCCCTGTTCAGATACCTTAACCTAAATTGTGACAAACGAGAGCTAATGTACTAATGATTAGGGCATTTATCTACGAAGTAACATATATTTTATTTTTTAAAATTCCTCCTATCCGCAGGAATAGATCAGGGTCTCTGTGACTATTTTAAATTCATTGAACTGTACATCTCTTCAAATCACAGACCAGCATTTTGCCAAAGGTAGAGTCAGCCCTACTCCTGTGATATAAAACAGGATTTTTTTTTCATATTTTTCCACCATGAAACATTTCTTGCATGCTGTCTCTGAGTGATGGCTTTGGAGCTCTGGGTTCCTGTCTGTAAAGTGGGAAGACACACCTCCTTTTGCCACATATTTAGAAACCATTTGACCTCCTGCCTGTAGTTTAAAATTTATTTTTAAGGTTTTTTTCTTTTTTTTTTTTTTTTTCTTAAGCAAGAGAAATGGAGAGATAGCACCCCCAACAAAGGCCTTGTGCCAAGATTCACCCTAAGCCTCAGCCGGTCCCAGGTCCTGGGTATGTGCATGTCAGGGTCCTCAGGGAGGTCTGTGGACATGAACTCAGAACCTTCCCGTGTGGGTCATTTTCACAGTGTGTGGCATTTTACCACTGTGCCTCCTGTTGGGGATTTTCTTCTTTTCAAATCAATGAGTTCCACAAGGACAAGATTTTTTTTTTTTTTTTTTTTTTTAGATTTTTGACTCTCTCAATTCTGATTCAATGCTGAATCCCTTAACCTTGAGAATAGTGTTTGGTACAGAGAAAAAGCTTCATAAATGTTCGTTGAATGGATACATATTTGATAGGTTCTATAATAACATCACTGAGAAAACTCAGGTGATGTTGGTCTACCCCTGCAACAACCAGGTAGGAAAGTGCACACCCTGTGGTGGAATTTATCCCTTACCTTGTGTCGAGCACCCTGTGGACCTGTTAGTCCCTGCCGTTTGAGGCTGTCTGCTTGAGTTAGAATTGCTCGTGTAGGGGGCCAGCAGGTGGCATGGTAGTTGAGGCACTGGACTTCCACATGACCAACTGTAGTTTGAGTCCTGGACTTGGCAGCTTATTTTTTCTCTCTCTCTCTCATGCATGTTCCAATATAGCAAAATTAAAGTAATAATTCATAAAACTAAATCAATAGTTTTTTTCACAAAAAAGAATTTCTCATGTACTGCCACCTTCAGATGGCCAGCTTCTTAAGGGAAGGGCCATTTCTTTACTTTTATTTGCATTTCCAGAGCCTGGGGGACTTTTATGCTCAGAGAATATCTACCAAATTGAAAATTAGTTGCATGGCCTCAGCCTATAAGTTTTGGGTTGATCTTAATTCTTTTCCCAGAATAATCTAAAAGATTTGTGTAAAATTGTAGGTATGGTATCCATCAGATAGTTACATATGTGCCCAGGGCCTTCCATATTTTCACGTCATATGCAAAAGCTTGAGTCCTGAACAACAGTCAGAGCAACCATAACAATCCCAACAGATGCTGATTCGAACATATGGGGGGGGGGTGGATTGCAACATTGAAATCAATAAGTGTCTGATTAAATGTTCTCAAAGCATACCATTGTGTGAACTTCATTATTTTCTAAATGTAGTGCTTATAAACATTCATTACATTTTAAAATAATTTGTGGCTTGGATTTTTCTCACTTCATAAGAATTCCTGAGTTTGCACAATGTGTGCTAAGGAATCTCAGCCAACTACAAATTAAATGAATTTCATAAAACCAAATAAATATAAAAGCAGAATTATAGAAAGTCCTTCAAGATCTCTCAACATACTACAGAATTCTCAGATAATATGAAATGTTTCAGTAAAGTCTCCAGAAATTAGAACTACTGGCATATCCCCTCTTGAGTTATTAGACCAATTTCGGTAATGTCACTTGTATAAACCAGAACTCTCCTCTGATCAATGTATTATAAAGTAATCCCCTTGACCTTTAATGATTTTGCTCATTGAATGCCTCCTGTTTTTAATGTAATCTTTCTTCTTCTTCTTCTTGTAGGAATCCTGTTCACAATGCTGGTATTTGGACCAGCCTGCGGATTTATCCTGGGCTCTTTCTGTACCAAAATCTATGTGGATGCAGTCTTCATTAACATAAGTAAGAAATTTATCTCCATTTCTAACCATCATGGATAAGCATTTCTTCCCTTATAAAAGTGGCCTCAGCCTTTTGGTTCTAAATCCTTCCTACCAAACAGTAGCCTTAATGCATCTCCCTCTGTAACTGGTTGCCCATCTGAGATTACATGGTAGGGTCCTAAGTGTTGGCTCAGAGAGCCTGGACTCAGGTCTGGGGTCTGCCAATAGCTGCCCAGCCCTGAATAACCACCAATAGTTGATTTTCCTCTCAAGTCTTTATTTTTCTCATTTGTAAGTTAAGGGCAACAGGAAATGTATCTGCCTTGCAGAGCTATTTTAAGAATTATATAGTTGGGGGCTAGCAGGTGGCACAGCATTTGGGGTGCTGGACTCCTGCATGACTGGCTTTAGTTCGAGTCTCAGACCTGGCTTTCTCACTTTCTCTCTCTCTCTCTGGCACATGTGCCTTATAGCAAATTAAAATCATAATAATAATAATAATAAACAAAAATAAATAATTATTTTTTTAAATTATGTACTTATTAAAAGTTGGCCCTTTAAGTACGGGGCTGGATGGTGGTAAAGTAGTACAGTTTGATGCTCTGCAAAGCTCGCCTACTTGGAAAGGTTCCGCGTTTGCATCTGGATGCCTCCTGAGGACACTAGGCACATGCATGCCTATGGTCCAAAGTTGGCTGTAGTGGGTGTGGAATGTGGCATCAGTGCCCTGGTGGGGGCTGTATTTTGGCCTTTCTGTGTCTCTCTCAGTCATAAAAGAATTAAGTAAGCTGGGGGTGGGGGAAGGAAGTTGGCCAACTAACCTAGGGGTCCTATATCGTGTAGGGCCAGCAGGTGGCATGGTAGTTGAGGCACTGGACTTCCACATGACCAACTGTAGTTTGAGTCCTGGACTTGGCAGCTTATTTTTTCTCTCTCTCTCTCATGCATGTTCCAATATAGCAAAATTAAAGTAATAATTCATAAAACTAAATCAATAGTTTTTTTCACAAAAAAGAATTTCTCATGTACTGCCACCTTCAGATGGCCAGCTTCTTAAGGGAAGGGCCATTTCTTTACTTTTATTTGCATTTCCAGAGCCTGGGGGACTTTTATGCTCAGAGAATATCTACCAAATTGAAAATTAGTTGCATGGCCTCAGCCTATAAGTTTTGGGTTGATCTTAATTCTTTTCCCAGAATAATCTAAAAGATTTGTGTAAAATTGTAGGTATGGTATCCATCAGATAGTTACATATGTGCCCAGGGCCTTCCATATTTTCACGTCATATGCAAAAGCTTGAGTCCTGAACAACAGTCAGAGCAACCATAACAATCCCAACAGATGCTGATTCGAACATATGGGGGGGGGGTGGATTGCAACATTGAAATCAATAAGTGTCTGATTAAATGTTCTCAAAGCATACCATTGTGTGAACTTCATTATTTTCTAAATGTAGTGCTTATAAACATTCATTACATTTTAAAATAATTTGTGGCTTGGATTTTTCTCACTTCATAAGAATTCCTGAGTTTGCACAATGTGTGCTAAGGAATCTCAGCCAACTACAAATTAAATGAATTTCATAAAACCAAATAAATATAAAAGCAGAATTATAGAAAGTCCTTCAAGATCTCTCAACATACTACAGAATTCTCAGATAATATGAAATGTTTCAGTAAAGTCTCCAGAAATTAGAACTACTGGCATATCCCCTCTTGAGTTATTAGACCAATTTCGGTAATGTCACTTGTATAAACCAGAACTCTCCTCTGATCAATGTATTATAAAGTAATCCCCTTGACCTTTAATGATTTTGCTCATTGAATGCCTCCTGTTTTTAATGTAATCTTTCTTCTTCTTCTTCTTGTAGGAATCCTGTTCACAATGCTGGTATTTGGACCAGCCTGCGGATTTATCCTGGGCTCTTTCTGTACCAAAATCTATGTGGATGCAGTCTTCATTAACATAAGTAAGAAATTTATCTCCATTTCTAACCATCATGGATAAGCATTTCTTCCCTTATAAAAGTGGCCTCAGCCTTTTGGTTCTAAATCCTTCCTACCAAACAGTAGCCTTAATGCATCTCCCTCTGTAACTGGTTGCCCATCTGAGATTACATGGTAGGGTCCTAAGTGTTGGCTCAGAGAGCCTGGACTCAGGTCTGGGGTCTGCCAATAGCTGCCCAGCCCTGAATAACCACCAATAGTTGATTTTCCTCTCAAGTCTTTATTTTTCTCATTTGTAAGTTAAGGGCAACAGGAAATGTATCTGCCTTGCAGAGCTATTTTAAGAATTATATAGTTGGGGGCTAGCAGGTGGCACAGCATTTGGGGTGCTGGACTCCTGCATGACTGGCTTTAGTTCGAGTCTCAGACCTGGCTTTCTCACTTTCTCTCTCTCTCTCTGGCACATGTGCCTTATAGCAAATTAAAATCATAATAATAATAATAATAAACAAAAATAAATAATTATTTTTTTAAATTATGTACTTATTAAAAGTTGGCCCTTTAAGTACGGGGCTGGATGGTGGTAAAGTAGTACAGTTTGATGCTCTGCAAAGCTCGCCTACTTGGAAAGGTTCCGCGTTTGCATCTGGATGCCTCCTGAGGACACTAGGCACATGCATGCCTATGGTCCAAAGTTGGCTGTAGTGGGTGTGGAATGTGGCATCAGTGCCCTGGTGGGGGCTGTATTTTGGCCTTTCTGTGTCTCTCTCAGTCATAAAAGAATTAAGTAAGCTGGGGGTGGGGGAAGGAAGTTGGCCAACTAACCTAGGGGTCCTATATAAGGACCCTACTTTTATTTTTAATTGCCAGAAGTCTCATGCGCTTTCCAGAGAGAGACAGACAGACAGACAGACAGAAATTATGCCCCGATGGATCATGGTCACAATGCAATCCCTTCTCCATTACTTCATCCTGTGAGGATTTGAGCATGCATACACATGTACCTGGCATGTTTTTCAAGCTACTGGGGCTAGAGTTTAAACCACAAGCAGCCAGATGAAATCCAGCTTCTTTAACTACTAGGCTATGCGGCAGCCAAAGAATGTTATCGGGTTGTTGGGAAAGTCATGACACATTTTTGCATAGAAATTGCACAGAAAAAATATGTCATAACTTTTCTAGCAACCCAATACTTTCTGACCTAAAAGTTGGAGCATGTGTCCAAATGTGAAGTGCCAATAGGTTCAGTGAGACAGCTTGAAATGCTTTCTGTAAACCACTGTTAACAGTGTTCTTTGTGAGGAAATACACTGCATTCAAAACTATTTTAAGCAAAATTGGTGTTCTTAGCAAGAAAAACAAGTGTTTTTCTTAGATTGCCTTGATCCCCCTCACCCCCATGACTCCGGGATTGAATACTGTGCTAGTCAGGATGAGCCAGGTTCTGATGTGGTGACAAACAGGTCTCAAACCAAAGACTGTTTCTCTGTCATGCTGCGTGTCCAGTGCAGGTCAGTGGTGTGGAGAAGGAAGGGTCTTCACTCATCATGATCCAGGCTTGCATGGTTGTCAAGTCAGGAAACCATACTGCCTACTTCGTGACCTTCAGCACAGAAACAATACATGTTGTTTCCACTCAGGTTTCACCAGTTAAAGCAAATCACACAGTGTATTTGTTTTCTAATGCTGGGTAACAAATGACCCCAAGCTTAGGTGACTTACAACTAGATAATAGAAACTTATTATCTCACAATTTTTCTGTGGGTCTGGAGTTACAGGAGCAGCTTAGCTGGGTGGTTCCAGTCCATGGTCTCTCTTGAGGCTTCAGTCAAGGTGTTGACTGCACCTGTGAACTTCTCAAGGCTCAACAGGGAGACAGTGCACATCCACACTCCCTCCTGTGGTTGTCAGCAGGCTTTGGAAGTTCCACTTCCAGGCTCATCCTACAGTTAATGTCATTACATCTCCCTCATGCAAACAACCCACCAGAGAATGAGTGAGAATGTGAAAAAGAGAAAGCCTTTTTTAACCTAATCTCAGAGGTGCCTTGTCACTATTTCTGCTGCATTTTGTTGGCTAGAAGGCAGCCATTTGTTCAGGTTCATTCTTTAGGAGAAAGGATTATTATTCTCAAGGAGAAAGGTGTGACTATCAGGGCACAAGGATATTTGGGGCCATTTTAGACGCTGCCTGTTCCATCAACTCAGCTCAACTGCTTTCCCGAAAGAGAACACGACGTGTCTATATAGTTGCCCAAGTAGCAAAGCCATGTTTCCTTTGTCTCTGAAATAGAGTGTAGGAAGCCATTCCAGTTCTCCTTTTCATGCTGATCTGTTCTCAGGATCAATAAGAACTCTCAGTTCCTGGGTTCTCCATCCATCATCTCATGACAGGGCTAAATTTACTAATTCACCCCACAGAAATAATATGGTTTTAAATCCAATCAAGTCACTTTGTGATTCACTCCATTAATCCCACTGATACGTTTACATGTAGCTATTGATGGCATAAATTTCTGAGTAGAAAATAAAATCAGATGCAGCCTTGTATATTTATTTTTTAAAGTACTGGTTCTGACCACGGGGTGATTGCTGCTGTGTTCCAGCAGGTGGCTGGCCTAGTCTTGGAACCCCTTCCCTTACAAACATGGTAAGATGAGCTGGTAAGAGGAAGAACATGTGAACATGTGAACTGAATCAGCTTCCATCTCGCTTACTTAGAAGAAGTCCTTTATGGTCCTCTCTGCCACAAAGACAGCACAAAACGGGTGGCAGAGAGGACCAGAAAGGGTGGCACCTCCAATACAGGAAGGAAGGCACCTTGAAGAAGTAGTAAAGGGGCCACTCTAATGGGGGAGCCTTGGGCCATGGCCTGTGTGATGACCAAAATCTGTGCGCTAGAAAGAGCCTCAGACAACATCCTCAGCAACTCTTTCACTATACAAATAAATAAACTGAGTCCCAGAAAGGAACAGGAATTGGGACCAGCAGAGGGTGTAATGGTTATGTCACTGGACTCCCACATAGTTAGACTGCAGTTCTAGTCCTGGACCTGGCAGCTTAAAACTCAAACC